CGGCGCCGGCTGGGCTCCGAGCCCTCCCTCCACCGGGCCAGCAGGGAGACCCGACAGGACTTCGAGCAGAGGGAGCCCTACAACTACCTCCAGGTGGCCCTGTTCAAGGTGAGGGGAGGTCCGCGCTCACTGCCGGCCCTGAGCCCCTGCTGGGTACGGCCTGTGGCAGGAAGGCGAGGGGCACCTTCCCCAAGCCCCCAACCAAGGGGCTTCTCTGCTTCACCAGCCGCTGACCTGTGCCAAGATTGGCTTATGTGTGGGGGCAGGTGTCAGTGACTCTTAATCCCATACCTGCGCCCTGAGTCTGCCGGGCTCCCCGGCAAGAGAACCAAGCTGACAATGGGAACAGCCTGTGTCTGCCCGTGCTGCTGGCCTAACAAACGGGATAGGGAGTTGGTTTTGTGTATGTCCTCCCGAGTTGAGACACTTGGCTGGGGAAGGGGGAAAGGCAATTCGGAGTGAGGTGGCACCAGAGTAGAGGTTTCATCACATCCCATCTAGCAGGGGACAGCATGATGCTTTATTTAAAACTAGGGGGTTTACCCGGCCTTGCTCAAGTCCTTAACTGAAATAATTGTTCTTCTTTATTTAACTCTTTGCTGGGCAGGGGGGCTAAGGAGGAGGGGGTCAGTATGCAGGCTGCCCTAGGGAGAGAGAACTGCCCCAGCCCTCTCTCACCACATAGCATGGGGCCAAGTGCGAAGCGCCTCCCCATGGCTATCTCAGCTGCAGCGGGCAGAGCTGAGGGAGCGTGCATGTCCCCGGCTGGAGGATAGACACACATAAACAGACAAACTCTATAGTAGACAACTGTCCCTTTTTCCACCCCTGCCCTCTCTTAACTCAATGTGATTATAGTTGCCCTGCTCCCCATCTCTGGCCCCTTGCTGCACACCCCTCTCTGCCACCATTATACAGTATAATTGTCCCTGCTAGCAGAACCCTCGTTTTCCATGCTATGAGAAAAAATCCCATTCCAGGCACATCCCATTATCCTAGCACAACCAAACCCTGCCCTTGCTTTAAGTTACTATAAGAAGACGCTGCCTACCACATCTGGTGGTCCTAGCGCTTACCACTTAGGAGCAGTTCTTGAACAGACAGACACGCAAACTTTCTCAAATATATAGTCGTTTAGGTCCTACAATAGTAGCTACAATGTCAGACATGGCCATAGGTGGCAAGTTATATGGGCTTGTGGTGCCCAGCTCTACCAATATTTGGAGCTGGGTCTCTCCCCTGGCCCTGCCTGGAGCGGGCCCTGGCCCCCACCTACCACGCGTCCTACCCCCTGGCCCCAGAGAATCCCCCCACAATTCCCTGTCACCTGCACCTTCCCGGTGCCTCCCTCCCCTTCCCTCACTGCTCCTGCCCCCCTTGCCCTCTTCCTCCCTGGTGCCCACCTCCTCTGTCCCAGTTCTCCTCATGCCCTTCTGTGCCCTCACACATGACTTGCTCCATCCCCTGCCTTCCTCATGCCCACCCCTCCTTTCAACCTCTCTTCTCCCGGCACCCACCCCTCCCCTTTCCTCTTCCTGTCTCTCACCTCCATTGCCTCTCCCAGCATCACCCTGTCCCCTCGCTTCTCACACCCCTCCCCACTCCTGCCCTTTTCCTCATTGTCTCCTCTTGGCTCCCTGGCATTTGTCTCTCCTCTACCCTGCTCCTTGGTGCCTGCCCCTTTCTTCTCCTGTCCTGGCCTCCTCCTCTCCCCTCTGCACAAGCCCCTTCCTCTCTTCACCCCCCACCACTTCGTTAGTTTTCCCCCTGCCTCTTCCCTCACCTTCTGCCATCCCAACACCTGCACCTGCCGGGCGAGTCAGCATGGCGAGTGGCTGCCCTGTGTGCAGGGGCTGGAACCAGGGCTGTGGTGCTGTTTTTAGTGCTGCAGCCCCAGCCCAGGAGCAGCTACACCATAGTCCGGCTCCAGTCCCGGCACATGAGGCAGTGCGCTCCATGTGCTGGGACTCAAGCTGGGGCCATGGTGCTATTTTTAGCACACCTGCCACATGGCCCCACCTCCAGGAGCAGCCGGGGCCGCAGCTGCGTGGCTCTGCTGAGTGGGTGGGCGGGAATGAAATTCTTAGTGCGTGCAGGCGCACACCTTACAGGGCACCCTGGTCAACATAGCATGTTGGTTTATTAGGCCTATTCTGCAAATATAGTTCCAAAGCCAGGCTAACTAATGGCATGTATGTGGGGAGGTAGGTTTAGACATGAGAAGGAACTGCCCGGGGACTTGGCAGTTGCTCTACGTGGGTTGTCTTGTCCTTGCAGCTGAAGAAGCTGGATGAAGCGGTGTCAGCGGCTCACACGTTTTTCGTGGCCAATCCCCAGCACATACAGATGCGTGAAGACATGGAAAAATACCAGCGCATGGCAGAGGTGAAGCTAGAGAGTTTCCGAGACCTGCAGGCCACACCATATTGGGTGAGACCCCCATGGAGATCTGTGCACCTGATGCATACTTCAGCAAGGCCTGCCAACTTACTCCAGGGGATCAGGGCCCAAGATTAACCCTGGCTTCCCCATCTCTGCTTTCATTGCCCCACAGGGGTCAGAGCCTGAGGGTTTCCATAGACCAGGGGTGGGCAAACATTTTGGCCTGAGGGCTACATCTTGGTGTGGCAATTGTATGGCAGGCCATGAATGCTCACAAATTGGGGCCTGGAGTGTAGGAGGGGGTACAGGCTCTGGGGTGGAGCCAGAAATGAGTTCAGGATGCAAGAAGGTGCTCCAGGCTGGGACGGTGAGGTTCGGAGGCTAAGAGGGGCCTCTTGACTGGGACGGGATTGGGGCATACAGAGAGGTGAGGGACTCGGGCTCTGGGGTGGTACTGGGAATAAAGGGCTTGGGGTGCAGAAGGGTGCTCCAGGTTGGGATGGAGGGGTTTGGGAGTGGGATCAGTTCTTGGGCTGGGGCTGGGACACCAGTGGGGGGTGAGGCTGTGGCTGGGGGAGGCACTCTCTGGGAGGCCTCTGGGGATGAGAGATTTGGGGTGCAAGAGGGTGTGCTGGGCTAGAATGGAAGGGTTTGGAGGGCAGGAGGAGGGATCAGGGCTGGTGCTGGGGTTTTGGGAGGTGGAGGCACAGAGGTGCAGGATCTAGGTGGTGCATACCTCAAGCAACTCCTGGAAGCAGCGGCACATTCTCCCTGTGGTTCCTATGCAGAGGTGGGGCCATATGGCTTTGTGTACCACCCTGTGTGCAGGCACCACCCTTGCAGCGTCCATTGGTCACAGTTCCCAGCCAATAGGAGCTGGAGAGCTGGTGCTTGGGATGGGGGCAGTGCACAGTGCCCCCAGGCTGCCCTGCTTCCAGGAGCCACGTGGAGCTGCTACAAGCACAGAATGGGGCAGGGTAAGCCCCCAGCCCTCCTCTTTGGCTGGCGCACGCTGGCGGGAGCTCAAAACCTCATTAAAAGGTCTGACAGGCTGCATGTGGTCCATGGGCCATAGTTTGCCCACCCCCGCCATAGTGCATTATCCAAACAGACCCACAGACAGTAAGGCTGCCCTCTGAGTGATCCAAAATCCTGGGTAGCCAATTACCAATTGAGCATGAAGGGTGGGGCCCAGACATCAACCACAAGGCCTGGTGCTGCTCCTTGCAGGAGGCGTACGAAACCGGGGTGCAGCACTACAATGCAGATGAGTACCTGCAGGCTGCCAGGAAGCTGGAAGAGTCGCTCGAAGAGGTGCTGTTGGCACTGGAGGATTGTCGCGCTCTGTGCGAGGGGCCCCAGGAGGATGGCACAGAGGAGGAGATGCAACCCAGCCTTTATGAAGCCATTGCAGGTAGTGTGAGGGGTGCTGTGTCGCTGGGTGGGTCACTCTTTCTCCTCTGGACATGTGCCTTCCCCTGGCATCCCAGTCGGCAGAA